GAGCGGAGCGCCACCAGCCGGTGGGTGGGGGAGGCTGTATGGAGGGGATGTAGTGCGAGGGGCTGGGGAGGAGCCGCCTGGCCACGGGGGGCGTAAGTGATGCTGAGAGGGGGAGGCGCTGGGGCTGCTGTGATGTGGTGGAGGCTGTTGGCCATGGCAGATGGATTTGTGGGGGTCCAGGGAGGGGCTCTGGCCCACTGCATGAGGCATCGAGAGCTTCAGGTCGCCTCTCTCTGGGTGGCACAGGAATTGCAGAGGTGGGTGGGCAGGGCGAGGCCCTGGCCTCCACACAGAGCACACAGATTCTTTACGAGGGTGCTTTGCACATTCACCCGGACACGCCATACCAGAGTTGTAAAAAAGTCTCCATAAATTTAGCAGTATTGCAAGCTTACATGATAAGTTTTCTCATCACGGGGGAATTTTATTTGATGGTACTAATGATAATATATCTTCAAATATTGGGAAACCCATGGATCAAAGAAAAAATTCACAGAGGGACTTAGAAAATATTTCAAAGTGAATACTAAAAAAGCACAACTTACCAAAATTAGTGGGAGGCAGCAAAAAGCGACAGGAGGAAACTGTATTCCTCTAAATGCTTCTGTTAGAAAAGAGTCAGGACATAAGATCAGTGAGCTAACAGTCCATTTAGAGATGCTAGAAGAAGCAGAGCAAAGGGAACATAAAATGAAGTAGTAAGAGAGCTAAGAGAGGACATCAGTGATAGGAAGCAAATTATGGACACGATGAACAAAGCCATGCTCTTCTTTCAAAAGAGCAGGAAAACTGAGAAAGTCCTAGAACGATGAATCACGGAAAAATAGAAAGAACGCCGATCACCAATGTGAGGAATGAAAGAGGGCCAACGTTACGGATCAGATGTACATTAAAAAAGAGGATATAGGGATATTATGGAAATGTTTATGCTAACAAATTGGAAGACTTGAAAAATTCCTTGGGAGAAAGGCAGCTTCCTAAAACTGAGGCCAGAAATGTAGAAAAGGTGACGAGCCTTCTATGTATCTTTTTTTTAAATTATTTTATTTTACTTTACTATTGTTTCTTGAGTCATACACAACAAGTGTGCTTTTGTTATTATTTTTTAAATGTATTTTTACTTTTGGCTGCGCTGGGTCTTTGTTGCTGCGTGCGGGCTTTCTCTAGGTGCGGCGAGCGGGGGCTACTCTTCGTTGTGGAGCACGGGCTCCAGGCATGTGGGCTTCAGTAGTTGTGTCACGTGGGCTCCGTCGTTGTGGCTCGTGGGCTCTAGAGAGCTGGGTCAGTGGTTGAGGCGCGCGGGGTTAGTTGCTCCACGGCTTGTGGGATCTTCCCGGACCAGGGATCGAACCCGTGTCCCCTGTACTGGCAGGTGGATTCTTAACCACTGTGCCACCAGGGAAGTCTCTAGCCTTCTATCTTGTGAATAAATGTAATTCATAAAAAAAGCTTCCTCAAGTCAAACAAACCAAACAGGGCAGGGAGGTGCTCCAGGCTGCTGCTGGGAGGGGCACTAGGGTGGGCTGTGTGGCACAAACGTGATTCTCTCCTCTTTGCACCCACAGGCCGATTCCTCCACTTCAACAGCCTGTGCACACCTGTTTGATCGCTTCCCCCCACCCTCAGGCCCTCGAAGATGGCAATGGCTCTGGCAATATTGCGGGACTGGTGCAGGTCGATGGGCGTGAACGCTCGGCAATCTCTGCTCATCCTGGGAATCTCAGACGACTGCGAAGACCAGGAATTCGAGGAGGCTGTGCAGGCTGCCCTGCATTCACTGGGCAGGTACCGAGTGCTGGGCAAGGTCTACAGAAAGGAGCTGGGGTCAAGTGTTGCCCTGGTCGAGTTTGCTGAGTGTTTAAATCGAAGCTTGCTCCCCCGCCAAATACCAGGCAAGGGAGGGCCCTGGACTGTGGTCTGCCTGCCCCAGGCCCCTGATGCTGAGTCACAGGATAGACCCAATTTCCCTGCGCAGCCCCAGAGACAAGCAGTGGTTGGCAGGGCAGGTGAGGCAGGAACTGCAGGTCACTCAGGAACTGCAGGGGAGGCGGGAGCCGCAGGTATGGAGGGAGACACAGGTGAGGAGGGAGCTGAAGGTGAGGAGGGAGGTGCAGGTGAGGAGGGAGACTCTGGTGAGACAGGGGCTGGCGGTGAGGAAGGAGCTGGAGGTGAAACAGGAGCTGCAGGTGAAAGAGGAGCTGCAGATGAGGAAGGAGATGCAGGTGAGGCAGGAGATGCAGAGGAAGCAGGCGCTGCCGGTGAGGAGGAAGCTGAAGGTGAGGAGGGAGGTGCAGGTGAGGAGGGAGCCTCAGGTGAGGCAGGAGCTGCAGGTGAGGCAGGAGCTGCAGGTGAGGAGGGAGCTGAGGGTCAAGCAGGAGCTGCAGGTGAAGCAGGAGTGTCAGATGAGGAAGGAGATGCAGGTGACAGAAATGTTGCAGGCGTGGCAGGACTTGTGCTAATGGCAGGACCCGCGGGCGAGGGAATGACTGTGGCCGAGGAAGCAGCTGTGACAGCGGCAGGCGCCATGGGTGAGGCAGGGCCCAGGACCCAGCAGTGGAGGCAGGCCTTGCAGGTGCTAGACAACATGGGCTACCAGGAGCTGGGAACCTTCTCTGGGATGGAAGAGCCGGGCCACGGGGAAGAGTCCTTTGAGAGCTGGCTGGAGCAGGCTAACAACACGCTGTACCTGTGGCGCCACGTGTCTGAGAGGGAGAGGAGGAGGAGGCTGGTGGAGAGCTTGCGCGGCCCCGCGCTGGACCTCCTGCGCGGCCTCCTGGCGGACGATCCCGAGCTGGCCGCCCAGGACTGCCTGGTCGCGCTGGTGCAGGTGTTTGGGAACAAGGACCCCCGGGGGAGTGCTCGGCTGAAGTTCGTGACCTGTGCCCAGCGGCCCCAGGAGACTCTCTCTGCGTACGTGATGCGCCTGGAAGGCCTGCTGCAGTCGGCCCTGGAGAAGGGGGCCATCCACCCGGCCGTGGCGGACCAGGCGCGCGCCCGGCAGGTGCTTATGCAGGCCCGGCTGAACTACACGCTCCAGGACAGGCTGAGGACGATGTGGCTGATGAGGAGGCCTCCCGACTTTGTGGGGATGCTGCGGCTCATCCAGAAGACCGAGGCCTGGGAGGCCGACCCGGCTAGCAGGGAGCACTTCCCAGGGGAAGAAGAGGCCCGTGTGGACGTCGCAGTCCTGGCAGCAGCCGCCCAGGCCGCCCCGGCCCATGAGGCCATCACCGCAGGCACCACTGCGTATGGCACCAAGGCCTCCCCGGCCGGTGAAGATACCACCGCCCAGGCCGCCCGTTGCAAGGAAGGTAGCGCCGAGGACCACCCGGCACGTGAGGAGGCCAGTGCGGCAGTTGCCGGCACTGCCAAGGCTGGCGAGGCGGCCCCTGAAGACCATGGTGCCGCCAGGGCAGCCCCCGAAGACCATGGTGCCGCCAGGGCAGCCCCCGGCCCTGGGGAGACCAGCGAGGCGTCCGCGGCCACTCAGGAAGTTGGAAGTGCTGCCGCCCCTGCGGGCCTGGGTCAGGCAGGACCCTCAGATGCCCCCGGAGTCCCCATGCCTGGCCGGATGGGCAGTGCTTCCCCGGTGGCCCCAGGAGGTCCTGGCTGGGAGCCAGAGGGCCTCGCCCAGGCAGGAGGCCAGGAGGCCGAGGAGACCCCCGAGGAGGGGCTCAAGCCCATCCCAGAAGAGCCGGGAAATGAGGACGGGGCTGCAGAGATGAGCCCCCCGGGGTCCACCTCGGGCCAGTAGGCTCAGCAGGCCCCGGGGCCCCCAGGCTTGGAGGCAGGGGGAGGCCAGGCCTGGCAGCCTACTTGCCCCATATTAGGGGCTACTCAAGGTGCCTGGGCCTCCCTCCTGAGAGGGGACCCCTATTCATCAGCCCCTGGGGCAGGTTGCTCCCTGTACTGGCAAGCCCAAATGTGTCCCCGGAGGCCCCAGAGGGACCCAGGTGTCAAGGAAGCCCCCCCAGCCCCCGCTCCCCTCCCCCCAACACACACACCCTAGCCATCGTCCCCCCGCAGCGCCCTGAGGCGCGCCACGTGCCAGCCAAGGCTCTGGTCTCTGTGGGCCAGTGTCGTGAGCTCAACGTGTGATTTCTGGGCGTACATTCAGGCCCAGCGCTGCCTGTTGTTGTGGAAGTGTGCGTGTGTTCTCTGAGCCGTTCCCCCAACCCCTGCGTGGCGTGGAGACCCCGAGCCCAGTCCCAGGAGCCGGTGGGAAGGACGGGATGGACGAGGTCACAGCCAGCGCCCACCCCAGGACCCGGGATCCCACCTGGGACCTTGGGAAGGAACACCTTGACCGGGGCTGCAGGAGGTCTGCGGGAGGCCCCCCAGGGCTTGTGTTCTGCTGGGCCACCCCGTTGTTCCTCGGGACTCCACGTCCCCGGCTCGGTGGTGCGCGCCCTGCGGTGGGACTGTCCTGTGCCCGCCATAGGGCAGGGCCAGGCCCCGGGCATGTGGGCCAGAAATGGAGGGTCTGCCCTGGGGTAGCGGGCATTGCCGGCGCCCATCTTCCTGGCGAGAGGCCACCCGCGGGGCCCTCAGGAAGGGAGACTGTGGGGAGATGGAGGGCCACCGGGTGGGGTGTAGCGGAGGCACCTTTTTGAGGACCCTGGGGGGGGGTTCCTTTGAGAGCTGGCTGGAGCAGGCCAACGACACGCTGCACCTGTGGCGCCACGTGTCTGAGAGGGAGAGGAGGAGGAGGCTGGTGGAGAGCTTGCGCGGCCCCGCGCTGGACCTCCTGCGCGGCCTCCTGGCGGACGATCCCGAGCTGGCCGCCCAGGACTGCCTGGTCGCGCTGGTGCACGTGTTTGGGAACGAGGACCCCCGGGGGAGTGCTCGGCTGAAGTTCGTGACCTGTGCCCAGCGGCCCCAGGAGACTCTCTCTGCGTACGTGATGCGCCTGGAAGGCCTGCTGCAGTCGGCCCTGGAGAAGGGGGCCATCCACCCGGCCGTGGCGGACCAGGCGCGCGCCCGGCAGGTGCTGATGCGGGCCCGGCTGAACGACACGCTCCAGGAAAAGCTGAGGACGATGCGGCTGATGAGGAGGCCTCCCGGCTTTGTGGGGATGCTGCGGCTCATCCAGAAGACCGAGGCCTGGGAGGCCGACCCGGCTAGCAGGGAGCACTTCCCAGGGGAAGAAGAGGCCCGTGTGGACGTCGCAGTCCTGGCAGCAGCCGCCCAGGCCGCCCCGGCCCATGAGGCCATCACCGCAGGCACCACTGCATATGGCACCAAGGCCTCCCCGGCCGGTGAAGATACCACCACCCAGGCCGCCCGTTCCAAGGAAGGTAGCGCCGAGGACCACCCGGCACGTGAGGAGGCCAGTGCGGCAGTTGCCGGCACTGCCAAGGCTGGCGAGGCGGCCCCTGAAGACCATGGTGCCGCCAGGGCAGCCCCCGAAGACCATGGTGCCGCCAGGGCAGCCCCCGGCCCTGGGGAGACCAGCGAGGCGTCCGCGGCCACTCAGGAAGTTGGAAGTGCTGCCGCCCCTGCGGGCCTGGGTCAGGCAGGACCCTCAGATGCCCCCGGAGTCCCCATGCCTGGCCGGATGGGCAGTGCTTCCCCGGTGGCCCCAGGAGGTCCTGGCTGGGAGCCAGAGGGCCTCGCCCAGGCAGGAGGCCAGGAGGCCGAGGAGACCCCCGAGGAGGGGCTCAAGCCCATCCCAGAAGAGCCGGGAAATGAGGACGGGGCTGCAGAGATGAGCCCCCCGGGGTCCACCTCGGGCCAGTAGGCTCAGCAGGCCCCGGGACCCCCAGGCTTGGAGGCAGGGGGAGGCCAGGCCTGGCAGCCTACTGACCCCATATTAGGGACTACTCAAGGTGCCTGGGCCTCCCTCCTGAGAGGGGACCCCTATTCATCATCCCCTGGGGCAGGTTGCTCCCTGTACTGGCAAGCCCAAATGTGTCCCCGGAGGCCCCAGAGGGACCCAGGTGTCAAGGAAGCCCCCCAGCCCCCGCTCCCCTCCCCCCAACACACACACCCTAGCCATCGTCCCCCCGCAGAGCCCTGAGGTGCGCCACGTGCCAGCCAAGGCCATGGTCTCTGTGGGCCAGTGTCGTGAGCTCAACGTGTGCTATCTGGGCGTAGATTGAGGCCCAGCGCTGCTTGTTGTGGAAATGTGCGTGTGTTCTCCTCTGAGCAGTCCGCCCCACCCCGGCCCCGGTGCGGAGACCCGAAGCCCAGTATCAGGAGCCAGCGGTGAGGACGGGATGGACGAGGTCACAGCCAGCGTCCACCCCAGGTGGGAGCCCACCTGGGACCTTGGGAAGGAAGACCTGGACCGGGGCTGCAGGAGGTCTGCGGGAGGCCCCCAGGGCTTGTGTTCTGCTGGGCCGCCCCGTTGTTCCTCGGGACTCCACGTCCTCGGATCGGTGGTGCGCGCCCTGCTGTGGGACTGTCCTGTGCCCGCCATAGGGCAGGGCCAGGCCTCGGGCATGTGGGCCAGACATGGAGGGAATGCCCTGGGGGGAGCGGGCATTGCCGGCGCCCATCTTCCTGTTGAGAGGCCACCCGCGGGGCCCTCAGGAAGGGAGACTGTGGGGAGATGGAGGGCCGCCGGGTGTGGTGTAGTGGAGCACCTTTTTGAGGACCCTGGGGGGGGGGCGGTACCCATGGGCTCCGGGGGCTGGTAGAAGGTCCTCCGGGTGGTGTTACGCCC